GTCAAAAAGGTAATGCGGCTTCTTAAATATCATACGAGTAAACGCATTTACCTTTCTCTTGTTCCCAAGTTACTGAGGCAATTATAATACATCTCACAGAAACATCACTTTAGATTCTTGTTTTACTAATTATTTTTTTAAAATGCTGATTTTAATCACACTGAGCCTCTTGGGTTGGCTTTAGGGGTCCAGAGTAATCTTATACATTTATTAATTTTACACTTTCAATAAGTTTTTATTAAGAACTTCCTAAGTAAATAAACATAAACAAATGATACATAAAGGAAACACCATAAAGTATTTACATAAACATACATAAGGTAAATACCATAAATGAACAATAAACACAGTGGCAGTCACTGTCCTAGGTGCTAGAGGTGCAATGTCACATTGAACAGATGGTTTCTGCTGTCATCGAGAACATCTTTCCATTCTAGGGGGAGAAGAGACAAGAAAGCAAGGAAATAAACACACAAATGTGTAACTACAAATTGTGATGCAAGCTTTGAAGAAAAAGGGTAATGCAAGCAAGGATCAATAGGACTTGAATTATGGAGAGAGGATATATAAATACATCAAATTCAAATTAATTAATGTGAATTTCCTGTGACCCCTTTAGCTACTCTCTGGAACACAATAATTAATCTCTTACGTTTTGCATTCCCATTTTTCCCTAATGTACGTTATTTTACCCCCCAGAATTGTCTAGCAGTACAGAGTAATATCCAAAAGTGTGACAAAAATTAAAAACTAATAAATTTTATGCTTTAAGACTAAAAATAATGTTAATTTTGATTAATTTTTTTATGATTTCACTTGTATTACACTGGTGTAATATTGTTCTCTCTTTTGCCACACTACTACTTTTGCTGGTAAATATAAGCATAGGTGGATGTAAATAAACACGAAACTTTCTCCTCTCAAGCTTTGGATTACATGTCTTAATATCTGGAAACACAATAAAACATGTTTAAGTGACACTCAGACCAATGTTTTATACTGTAATGTAATTAGAAAGCCCATTAGTGTGCATTAACCTTTCTAATTTTCTTGGTGCCTTATCAGATTCAAACTGAAATTTTGCCTAGCCAACTAAATCACATTCACTAACGTCTTGATTAATTGTGTTTCTAGTGAGCTTTGTCATATTATCATCTAAAACTAAAAGTCAGCAACAAGCATTTGGGTTCACTGTGTCTCCAAAGCAGAGATGCTTTTCCCAAAGACCTTTGATGACAATGATCATTACCTTCTTTGGCAAACCCTTATCAAAATATCGTTTGGAATATTTTACTACCTCATGCAAAAAAAAAAAAAGGTTTATCTGTTTTATCTGAATGAGGAAGAGAGAATTGCCATGCAAACCCGTGCTTCTCAATTCTGAGAATTCTTAGCATCTCTAGGGGAGGTGTTTCATAGTGCAGATTACCACTCCCACTCTAGATATTTTGGTCCAGGGAGGGGCCCAGACATTGATTGGCCAGTTTTAAACACTCATCAGGTACGATTAAAGCCAGACATAAGAACATCTGACATAGCGTCATCTGCATATTTGTCACCTTGCCCCTGGCAGTGGCCCCCTCTAGTCAAATACAAAGATTTTTCAGGGGAGGGAGGATGGGCTGCACTAGACTCCTGCTTCCAGGTTCCCCTCCTACTCAGTGTGAGGCCTTGCACCTCAGTACCTACTTTTAAGTCAAGGTCAGCCATGGTTTCAGCCCACACTTTCTTCAGGGTTCTTTGGCAACTGAACTCCTTCACAGGCTTTATAATAATTTGCCACCTGATGGTTTAGGTATGGGGAAAAAAATAATTACACTGTATTTTTCTTGCCTTTGCCCAATATCACACTAATGTGTAGTGATGTCTCTAAGCAATATGGTTACATTCATTTATCAGTGATTTGTACCCAAAATGCTTCATGTCTTGGCTTTTTATGTCTTGGCTACTTTAAATAACGTCCCCCCCCCTCTCCCTTTCCCGCTCCCAAGCTCTTGGACTTTGAAAAGAAGAAAGTATATACCCTCAAAGTGGAAGCCTCCAATCCTCACGTCGAGCCACGATTCCTCTACCTGGGGCCGTTTAAAGATTCAGCCACGGTCAGAATTGTGGTGGAGGACGTGGACGAGCCTCCCGTCTTCAGCAAACTGGCCTACGTCCTGCAGATAAGAGAAGATGCTCAGATAAACACCACAATCGGCTCAGTCGCAGCTCAAGATCCAGACGCCTCCAGGAATCCTGTCAAGTAAGCGCTCTTCGGTGACCTGCCTCTTTCATTAGCCTCACTCAGTTTATATTCAAAGACCTGCCTGTCTGTTAGAAAAGATGAATCCCTTTTTCTCCAATTAAACAGTTGTGTTTTCCTGAAAAAACTACTCTAAACAGCACCTTTAACTCTGATTGCTCACTGAATAAA